AGAATCAAATCACCGTCATATTAACTGTCAAAACATGTTTATGACAGCATGTATTATTGCATTTTAAAAAAGTCACATATTGTGGATGTCTATTATCATACACAAATTGTACTAAAGCCATCTAAAAGTTCATATCAATAAGTTTTCTCTTTGCACCACCAGGTGGCAGTCTTTGCACTTTCATTTCGGGGGTGCATATTGCATAAGTTTTATTAATATATACAGTATATAACTTTATTTTTTTATTAATAACTATAATTTTATATATATAGTTAAAAAATATTTACTATTTTCCCTAGTGTATATAACTACTACTGTAAGAAAATATCAGAATTCGGTACATACTTTCTGTATTATCTTTGCTTGAACTGACCCGATCGCTCACGTTTGGATTTACTAACAATGAACTGAACGTGGGAATGTGCGCAGCTTCACGGCAGCTTTCTGGCAGGCGTACGCACATTTTTTGTGCGCGTCTGTTTTATTTCCATCGACGACTCCTAGAGACAGTTGTGTTAAATTCCTCTCTACAAAGTGTCTGAGCCTTGCAATGGCAGATGTATGAGACGGGTTCAGCAGGTATATAAGGTTTCCATACCATACATTTGACCAGCTAAACATTAAAGCACAATTTGCAGCAGTCGCCTGTTTTCCCAATGTAATCTAAGCGATCTACCGCACGCACATTGCTATAAAGACACTATCTGAAGATGAATTTGCATGCGTGAATCAGAAACATTTCCATTCAATAAATGTGCAAATAAAATATGATGCTTATTGATATGAACTTATTGATGATTCCTACTTGTCTTTCTCGTGATAAATAGTTGGCAAAATCTGATATGTAGCGGGGGAAAAAAGAAGAAAGAGTTCATCAGACGCTGGATTCGAGCTGAGTTCATGCTCGAACGTATCAATTCATGATCACATTCGTCTTACGAGTAGCGCCACTGAGACTGTTAAGGGTACTGCAACATTTTACAGATATAAACCACACTATTTCTTTTGTTAATGCACTCAGTGCGATGTTCAGACCCAACTGTGTTAACCGCATCATCTAAACTCTCCCACTCTAGTTTTTTCTTTTGTTGTTAATTCCGGAGAACAAACTTGCAAATAACACCGCTTTTCTCTGGTCTACCTCCGATAGCAGCACCTCCAATTCACATTCTGTTCAAAGTTTCTCTTTTTGCTTGCTTTTGCCGTTGCTTTTTCGTTGGGTTTTTCCATTAGCATAGTCATTAGCATATTCATACAGGGGAGGAGGCAGGGAGGGGTTTTGTGCTCGTGCATGTTGCGCTCAGTTTCACGTTCATTCAGATGTACAAAAGAATATGCGTGAGATTACGTACGCAGTGTTTCATACATCTGAATTTTTTTCTGCGTACGCACATTTACAGCTTTGTGCGTACGCAATGTTTTAGTAATATTTCCACGCAAGTCTTCGTACATGAGGCCCCAGAACTGTTGCTACGACAACAACTCTCAGATCAGTTTTGAAGAACGATACAATCCTGGATCGCGTCAAATCGTCAGTAACCAAATCCAGCTAACCGAGTAATCCAAGTACAAAGAACGGACCCCTAGACTATTGCATATTGTTTCTTGATTCGTAAGGTCCCTCTCATTCGATCCTTGCATTATGGACAGTACAGTTGCCAGCCATGAACAGTCACATTTCATGTGTTTTACACAGTATATTGTGGATGAAGGTCATTTTTCTGAAACAGTAATCCAGTAATAAGGCGAGGAACATTTTGATTCAATATCTCTTTTAAAATGAAAACATTATCCCGAAACGGTGAAAATAGCAATATAGACGAGTAGCATTTTCATTCAAAATCTCAAATTTAAAATGAAAACGTACTGTTAAAGCAGCCTTAAAGAAGAGCTAGGTTTGGTTTAGATGCAGAGCCAAAACAACTGTAAAGACTCTGTGCATTTATAATTATCTAAGAAACACCCCATCTTCTACTCGTTTCATTTTTCTATAATTTTGCATAACCTCTGGATAACTATCTTAGTATCTTTTAACTGTATCTTGAGAATGGTGCTTTATAAAAATAAATAATGAATCTTATTTCTCTCAGCAGGACCACTACAGTAAAATGCATTAAACGTGTGTGTAATTGCTGAGACGTCTTGCAAGCGTACAGGCCAAGTGAGTTCCTCTCCCTCGTCATCCTCACTAATGAGCACTCTAACATGAATTCACACCCACAGCGGGACCACAAATGAACATTTCTCAGAGTGAAGCCTTTAGCAGCCATTGCCATGACAGCAAACAACTAACCATTAGTTAAAAAAAATCAGTTCTACCCCAGCCAATGTATCTTTGATTGCATACAACATCGGCAAACACAAAACAACATCAGACATTTTTTCCTTTTACCATTGAGCATGTTTGTCATTATGTTTACACAGAGGACTATTTCACTGCACGTTCATAACTCAGAAGATTAGATTGTGATTCTCTGAAAACTTTAATTAAATCGCATACTTCAATAAAACAAGTGTTAAATAAAAAGTTTTACAGCTGTTCACAAACATTAAGTTATAACCAGAATGTGCTGAAGAACAAACCTGAGCTCAGTTTTTGATCTAGTTCAGCTTACCTTTAAGGCTCTAGAGAAAAAACGTTTCCATCTCTAAGCATGAGACTCAATATCTCCATTTAATCTCATCAACGACACTGGAAAACATCCATTATATTAAAGCAATCTCAAGTGTAATTTTTCATTCACATGCTGGAATATCATTATCATATAGAGGACTGCATGTGTGTCATTTGTGCTGGGTGTAAAGGGTAATTACTGTGATAGAAATCTACAGCAGAAGAGTCACGGGACTCCATTTACATTACTTGCTGTGATTTTTAATATCTTAGAAATTACACCTTCCAAATATGGATACTCTATTGGATTCTATTAAAGCAGAGCGTTTTCGTTTTCTTGCATGAGTGGTTTTGTTCAAGTGAACGCCATGATAAACCAAAATAAACCTCATGTTGTTCTAGACTGTATTAAACATGAGAGTTTATTATATTTTAAAGGGATAGCTCACACAGAAATTAAAAATCTATCATCATTTACTCACCCTTCACTTGTTCAAAACCTATTTGAGTTTCTTTCAAGTGCTGGTAGTAATGCACGACTATAGTGTTTTTTCCTACTATGGATGTCAATAAGTGCCAGCAACCAGCATTATTCAAAATATCTTCTTTTGAGGAAAAAAAAAAAAAAAAACCTAATAAGGCTTAAAAACACACGAGGAATAGTACATGATTATTTAATTTAAATTTTTGGGTGAATCTCTTTAATACTTGACATATTTTAGGAGTTGATTGCTTTTTTCTGCTAACTTTCATGCAATTACAAAGCGTTAAAAGGGTATAATAGCATTATTAAGTACATTTATCAAGTATATACTGGCTTTTTATGAGGAAAACTGTTTTAATTTTACTCCAAAAATGTGATGTATTCATGCAATGTCCAATATGCAAACAAATCATTCTTTTGAGTCAGTTTCAATGATTCTGATTAGGCCAGACTGAACTGCTTCACAGCAATAAACAAACAAACAAACAAGCAAAATAAATAAATAATAATAATAATAATTTAATTTAATATTTAAACAGTAAAAAAAAACCAGATAGCTAAATAAATAAACAATAAAACAGACAATAAAATAAACAATAAAACAAATGATAAAACAAATAAATACATAAAATAACAATAAGCAATAAAAAATATAACAAAAAATTAAAATAAAAAAATTGAAAAATTAAAATAATATTAGACAAAAAATAAAAAAATTATAAAATAAAATCTAATAAGAGGTTCCATGTTTTTTGTTTTAATCCACTAATTTAAATAAATAAATACATAAAAAATAAAACAAACAATAAAATAAACAACAAAACAAAACAAAGACAATAAATAAATAAATAAAAAATAAAATAAAATAATAAAATTACCGACTCCATGTTTTTCTTTATTTATTCCACTAAATAAATAAATAAA